CTGTGGGTGCTTTGCTGCCCTTGGCACCAGTTTGGCCAGAGCCCCATGAAATCCCTGGGAGAAATCCCTGGGAGAAATCCCTGGGAGAGGTGTCGTCATCTGCGGGCTCCGCACCAGCGCCAGCGGTTGTTGGCCATCTGTTCCCCGCTGACCTCTTTAGGAAGGGCTGAAGCAGAAAGAAAAGTACTGTCACTTCAGGCCTCCCAGGGTCATCTGTCACTGCTCGCCCTTTCCCACCCAGAATCAAAACTAATATTTCCTCTTGCATGTTAATGAAGCACTTAAAGGTTGATTTGTTGTTGCTTTTTACACACACAGTGCTCATATTTTTCTGGCCTTTCTCAATTTGTCTCTGTGTGTTTGTGCTGGTTTTTTTTTTCTTTTTCATATTTCCTTCTTATTTATTTGACCTAGTTTTGTGTGCTGTTTTCCTTTTTGAGGTGATTGGAGAGCTTGTAATTAGGGACCAGCTTGACTCTTCTTGATTAATGACTGAGCCTGGATATCAAGGGAACAAAGCTGGCACTTTAACAGTCACACCAGCTCCTTCCCTTCACCCATGTTTATTCTGGAAAGGTCACAGAGCTGAGCCATGTAAAGATGAAGCAGGAAACAAAATTAGCAATAGGCAAATACAGAATTTTAGTTTATCTGTTCCAGTACTTGTGAAAACAAGGATTGCTGGTGCTCTTGCTTTGTGTAGGATTCCTGCCATGCATGTGGGTATCTGCTTTGTTGTTTAGATTCCTGGTGATTCCCAAGGAACAGCACCTGTCTCTTCATATGGGACAGTATTTCAGGTGTCCTGAAGGAATCAAAGCCTGCCTTTCCAGAGTATGATGCACTTTTTTTGATGTTAATTTTTGATCCCATTTCATCACCACCCTTCAAGCTGTTTTCTGCCTTCAAGATTTCAGCCACTTTCTTACAATCAGATCTTTAAGAATGTCCTAAATAGTAATTTTCTTCCTTTCTGTTTGAAATCGTATGATTTTGGTGAACTTGTCTTTGAGAGCTCATGTCTACACTGTCCAAACCCTCTGTTATCTGTTCTCACCTGTAACACTGCATGGATCTATTAATTCCTTCCATAAAGCCTCCACAGCCTGCATCTGGATGATTATTTGCCACTTCCTTAAAATTCTAGTTTAAAGATTTTGGTTTTTTTCCTTTTTTTTTCCCCCTCCCATCACCAGTGTCAGGAAAAATGTCTGTGTAGGAATGCACGATGGCCTCTTGCATGGTGAGGGAAGTCAAAACCAGAGCTGTGTGGAAGTTGTAGGATTTCTGTCAGTAAGAGCAACTTGCACAACTGTCAAGGCAGTTTATTCCAGCATAAAGTAGGATTTAAGGTACAAGAGGTATCTTGGAATTAAAGTGTGGTGGCTAAGCCAGACAAAGGCATCTGTAGGCGAACATTAGGAATGCTGTGCTGAGAAGGCAGTTTTCCTATGTTATTAAATTAACCTTCAGTATCTTGCATATACAACAAAATTAATGAGATTGTTGAGGTTTGGAGCAGTGTGACATAGAATGAAAAGAGAAGACAGGTCTCTGTTTAACCCTCAGTTCCTGCAGGAACTCTAAAACACTGTATGGGCAATATTACAAATGGACTCTACCATTGGGTTGTTGAGCACTATTCCCAAAAAGGAATGTTGCAAAACCCTGTCAGGATGTCCTCTCAGTGCTGATCCACGATACCAGCTGTGTCTTAAGCTGTGGAAGCAATCCATCTAGAAAACTCAAGTTCTTACTTAGCTTAAAAAATAAATCAGCCAAGATTTGTTAATTTTTAAAAGGGATTAATAAACTGTTCAGCAGCAGGCACTGACTGAGAGGCCAGAGCCACAGTGCTCGAGCTGTGGCCGTGACCTGCAGCTCCTCTTGCTTTCCTGTTCCAGAGAGCTCTCAAGCACTTGCACTTTAGAGATAACCTTGGGTTAGGCTTGGATTTCATAAGCGATTTGCAATCTGTGAAAACACCACTTCATTCTGTAGTAAAACTCCTTGCTCATAAAAATCCCTCCCGATTCAGATCCATATGTAAGAACAAGGCAAACTCCTACAGGGATATTCTGAGACACTCCTGCTTTAGAACATGAGCTTTGTATTCATAAATGTTTTAGCGTATTTCCTGCAATAAAGATTAAATTGTCGCTCAGGAAGTAAAGCTGCAGCATGTGCCTTTGACAACGTAATCAAACTTTATATAGCCATGTTTTTATTGTTTTCCTTTTGTTTTGCTCTTAGATGACTAATTTCTGCCTAAAAGTGGCAGCGAGAGTTGCCATCTGAAAGGCCGCTTGGAGCTTTATTTCTATTTTAAGCATATTTAAAGCACATGTATTCAGAAGTGTCATTATGTAAATCAGTTTTGAAAACTGAGCTCCATTAAAAATTACAGTATCATTTTCTGAGCTAATCCGAGGCTATTTTAATCTCAGAAATGAAAAAATAAGCCCACAACCAAACCTCAGGTTCTTGTGAGGGGTGGCACTTCTACCTCTGGTGTTGTAATTGCTGTGCTAATATGGTAATAAAATACTGTTTTCTTAGTGGAGCAAAATGTTTGCCCTTCTTGGATTTGGAAAATCCACTGACATGGAAACAAAAATTGATAGTGGAATCCAGTGTAAGGAATGATTTGGGCAGTGGTGAGCTTAAAGAAAACTCTGCATGTTAAGTAAAGTGGTGGTGGTGGTTTGTTTTAGTGTGTGGTTTTTTGTTTTTGTTTTTAAATACTGCCCTGAGTATTGAAGGGGATTTAAATGTAACTGTGGTCTTGTGGAATTGCTGTAATGGCGTGGGGTTTCTTAAGTACTAGCAAGAGGAAACCAAAAGTTTCTCATTTTACATGGACTTGTTTCATTCACCTGCTTTCAAAAACCAAAAAAGGCTGAACTTCCTCTGGCAATAGTCTGACAGCTTGGGGGAGTTCACTGGAACAGGGCCTTTGTAGAGTCTGCTGTGACTTGGGTAGGGAGCACTGCAAATGAAGGGACTGGATGTTGTTTCTTTGTAGTTCCTGGGATCCTGGGGACTTCTGTTCTCCTGCGAGCTAACAGGAATAAAGGCAAATCTATTACAGCTTCAACTCAGTTTCTTTTTGCAACCTAAGTCATCACTTTTTGCAAAGTCCTAAAAGAAGCCATTTAAAAGTACACTTCAAGAAGCCATTTCAAAGTACATTTCAAGCACCTTTGTCTTAAGTGCAATTTGGCACGTAATGCAAATCCCCAGCTGCAGTTCCTAAGGGCAGGTGTTTCCCAAACCTCAGCTTACAGGGCAGGGTTTAAAAGGTGGCCCTGGAACTGGCTGAGCAGTCCTGCAGGTGATGAATTTTTGGTCAGAAGGTGGATCAGTATTAAAAAAACCAGATACCTAATGCCATTTCAGCTGTCTGGACCTCCAGTGGTGTACCAAGAGCTCCCAGATGTGCTCAACCTCTGGCTGCTGTGCCAGACCGTGGGTCTTGCTGTATCTCTCACTTCTGTAAATAGTCTGAGTGCTGTAAAGTGGCTTTAAAAGGCACTAACACCTAAGTTTAGAGCTGTGAATTGCTTGCTGTAGTGTTTATAGTTTGGAGTGACACAAGGGAAGGGAATCTGCTTTTAATTTAGTCTGGAGCTCCATACAGGATCTGTGTAAGCATTAAAGCATCTGCAGTGGCCAGCATCAGTATTTTCAAGCAAGTGAAAAAGCCACATCCCAAAATGCCCTTCAGCACCGAAATATCAAAAGGCTACAATGTTCCTTTTTTATAACAAAGGGAAACTATGTAGGAAAAGGCAAAGTTGTTAAGAGGCAAAATGTTTCGGGGAGAATGTTTGAAGACACAATGTGCAAAATGAAGAGTGGTTGTTTACTCCTTTAGGTAAAGAGCAGTCTCACACACTGTGACAAAAAAAAAATAAAAAAATAGAGTTTTGTAACTAACTAACTCCTTTTTAACAACAACAAAGATCCAAACAAAGAAAAGGGAGGGGGGCTGCAGGCTTTGGCAAGTTCAATGTAAAGCAATAGTAAATTAGGCTAAAAGTGGTCTTGAGGAGTAATTGGAAGACATTGAATCTAATAATAGTGATGGTAATGGCTTCAGCCCATCAGAAACGGCCTTCTCAGATCTGTAAGGCTGATAAATGATCAGGACCTGAAGAGCTGTCAAGGAAGATAAAGTAGTTATAGAGAAATAAATGAATTATTTGCATTGGTATTTATTGAAAAGGATGTCGAGGAGGGTCATTGCTATAACCATTTATTTTCGTGATGGACATAGGAAGCAGAGAAAAGAAGGTTTCAAATAGGTTTTCTTGATTTGGAACCATGCAGGTTAATTTTTAATCAAGATGATACTGGAACAGTCTTGTTTTGCATTAATGCAAATTCTTCAGCTAGAATTTATAGGATGAACACAAAATATGATTATTGGAATTCATCTGGGCCTTAGTTTACAACTCTTGAGAACCAAATTGATGCGCATGGAAAATTAATGCAGCATGTGTTTGATCAAAAAGAGAAAAATAGTTGCAGAGTAATGTACTTGCTCATGATCTTCAAGGTATACTGTGAATCAGAGCTGCTGAAAGCCAGCAGAACTTGCATTAATTACTTGGGTTTGTTCCTTTTTTTTCCAGTTTCAAACTTACTTTCCCTAGAACATGCTAATATTAATCAGTACTTATGAGTGATTGTAGAAAGAGGTTCCAAATAAAATCTATCCTCCCTGAATTCTCACTGCCTGCTATTTTATTTGTTATGAGTTTCGATTTTGGAACAGCTCTTTTTTAGTGCTTTTATTGCAGCATTAGAAGCAGCCTTTTTTAGACATGAAATGTAGAAAGTTAGCAATGCAAATATGGATTATTCACCTTCCTAGAGAAACTTCATCTTACTGAAAAGCTCTTGCTAACCTTTGTTTTTATCAGGGAGAAAGAACAAGAAACACAAGAAGAGGAACATTTGATGGAAGAAAAGAAAAAGAAAAAGCAGGAAGAAAAGAAAAAGAAGGAAGGTGCTCAGAAAAAGGTTTGTTCATGTTCCTGTTATAATTGATCACTTTTTAATGTGAGTGTGGGTACTGATGCTGCAGCTTCGCTTCTGGGAGTGAGTCTGGCCCAAGTGATCATTGCCAGCAGCCTGGGGAGAGGCTGTGCTCACAGAACCCCTGGCCAAGCAGCTGTGCCAGGGCTCTGGCACTGCCCTGCTCCCCATGTCCTGTGCCAAGGGGCTGCTTCCATGGCAATTCCTCAGCCACAAGTACCTGGGTCAGTCCCAGAGGGTGCTGCAGGCACTCTGGGATCCCAGGCTCATTTTCATTGCTGTGCATTCTCCTCCCTCATTTTCTGGATCGCACAGTTAAGTTTTAATTTGAAATTAGAATTGATCGCTGTCTTTTCTGGCATAAAAATCAAGCATCATTAAAAAAAATGGGTACATTCCAGACAGATTAAAAAATAAACAGGTCTTCTGAGAAAGCTGATAGTGTGGGTGGATTCAAAGGGATGCTGGACAGTCACAGAAATGAATTCTGCTGGGTGCTCAAGGGTTCACAGATACAGTGGGGGTCCAGGAAGCCTCTGACCCTCAGGAGAGGGAAGGCTGGGTGGGTGGATGGGGCTGCTGCCCTCTCTTGTCATTCTTTACACTGCCTCTTTGGCATCTGCTGCTGCCTTCAGTCAGAGGTTGCCATTCCCACACTCCTATCACATGGAGTTTTAAACCAACACTCTCTAGTCCTTGGATGAAACAAATGCTTGATTTATATAAGCAGTTTCTACAAAAAGTTAGGCCTGCAGCCCTGTAATTATTAGGTATAATTTGCAGTATTGACAAGTAGTTGATTTGTTTTGTTCTTCTCTTCTTTCAGGCTGCTGAACAAAAAACCAAAGGTAAATTCATGTTTATTCGTTGTGAAATGTTTGATAGTTTTATAAGCTTGTTTAAAAATGTGCTTGTAGTTTTTATTCGTGTCTGTTTAATGAGGGGAGTATATCTTACTAGGATTGTTATGTTCCTAAAGTTTTCTTGGGATTCTCAGCATAAGCTTTGGCTTATCTTGCTGGGTATTCTACAGCAGCCTTTTGACAAGAATATATGGATTAATTTTCTGTGAACCATAACACAGCATGTGTCATCTCTTTTGTCAAGACAGATGCAGTTTTCGATTTAGTTGTTAGTAGTTATTTATCTGTTTCAAAGACAAGTAATTGCCCCTTTCCCCTTGCACAATTCAAGTCAATTTAATGTGTAAACTCAATTCATGGAGCTTAGTAGAAACTGTTTTCCCTGCTGCCAGCACTGCCTGTTTTTCTTTCTGTGTGGGTTTTCTGCTGGGAAGTGAGTGGAGCTGGTTTGCAGCAGGGGCAGGAAGCAGCAGAGGTAAGGAATTCCTTCCCCTTTGGGGGCTGCCAGGTTCCTTAGGAGAAAAGTTAATGAAGCTGTGGCTTTCAGAAAGGTGAGGAAGAGAGGCAAGGTAATGTCTGTCTTCTGCAACTGATGGATTGCAGATCTTTTTGTGTCATCTGTCCTTTGATTTGAACAGTTGTGAACCAGCTCACATGCATTGCCATTTTTTTGCTGGGTAATTAGGTGACAGACAGGCAAGTAGAGCTTCCCAGAGTCCTAAAGACTGAGAGTTAGAGAAGAGCCAAGCCTAACATAAGGGGTGGACTAAAGAACTTACATTTCAAACACTTCTTATGATTTATGCAGCAGAAATAAAGTACTACTTCAGTAACATGAATTCAGAAAAATAAAATAACTGAATGTTGAAGGTACTGTAACTTAATTTATTGAAACTGTCCTTTTCTTTCTAAGTTTTCCCTGTGAAGAAAGTGAGAGGTCAGAAAGTTTTAAGTTCAAATTCTTTAGCATCTGCACTGTGAGATCTCATGTAGTTTATAACCCTGGATTTTACTTTCAGGAGAAGGGAGCAGAGGTATGTGAGTACCCCCAAAACTTAAGTACATAAAAAACATTGGCATTAAGATCCATGAGAGCAATTTCAATCTAAACTGAATATTTCTGTTTTCACAGCATTGCTTGTTTTGTTCTCTGTATCAGCTCCTTTCTGTATGAAAAGGTTTCACTGTTTTATAATGGATTATAATGACTTTTTAATACCACAATTCAGCAGCAGATGTTTTTTGCTGTCAGGGTAACTACATTCATTTTCACGTGTTAATGCAGTGGCTCTTCATTTCTGTTACTAGTGAGACACAGAGCCTTCTGCTTTCCCTCTGTGGGATGTTACTATTTCTGTCTCTGTTGTGACAGCTTTGCTTTTAATTGCTTGAAACTGCCACGTTTAAGTTTCTAGTTAATAACTTCAGATTTTCAGGTATGTTTGTGAGTTTGTTTCTTTCAAGTTTAGGGAGTGCATTTCTCCATCTGTTGGGTTTTTTTGGTTTGCTATCCATGTATTTAAGCATCTTCTATTGCTATAAAACATGAATCCAGAAGAAGACAGCAGTGAATAAGGATAGTTATGTTAGAGATTAAGCAGCTTTAGCATTTATTATTTCACTTGTCAGAAGCAGTGATGCAGCTTTTTGTGGTTCAGCACATGCTGGAAGGGGAGACCTGTCCTCCAGAGAACCCAAACCTCCTGTTCATGCTCAGGGCAAGGGCCAGGGGTTATTTACAGTCCTGGAAGTGACCCGTCTTTGAATTTCCTTTGTCTGGCAACTACTCATTGCTTTTCAGGTTCCTCTGTGGAAATGATGTATTTCCACTTTATAGTGCAGTTCTGTACATTTATCTTTAGGAGGAATGTCCATCAGCTTATAAGAGGTAGCAGGAATTTCTTTAAGTACAGAAAATACACAAAATTAATGAGAGGAAAAATCTGACTGAACTTTTTTTCCTACAATATTCAGAGTTGACTGTAAACTTTATTGCAGTGCTGCACCAAGTGTGTTATTTCAATGCATTTTCAAGGTTGAGTGACAAATGCTACTAGAACTAAAAGGCAACTCAGGGATTATCATTGAATTTAGTTAATTATTTCCTATCTGGGACACAGCAATTAAATTAGTTGTGATGACAGGATGGCACGGTAAAACTGAGTGAATGGATTGCAGCAGGTAATACATGCCAGTGGGCAGGATGTATTAAATCAGAGATTAAAGCTGGACTGGAACTGAACATTTTGAAAAATGTAGATTTTGGTAGATGAGATCTTTATAAATATGACTTAATGGAGCTGCTTGTGGTAACTTTAAAAAAAATTGCTTAATTTTATGTGTGTGTCACCAAGTTCTGCAACTGGGTTGCCATGGCAGTGAGAGGTGCTTGCACCACTTGGGTCTTAGTGGAGAAAAAGAAATCATACAAGTGCAGATGGGATGTGGAAGGGTTTTTCAGTTTGTTTTTCAGCCTGGGCAGGGTGTTTGTACAGTCCCTTGTTTGCTCTCAGCAGTGTTTGTGGAGGAGAAGGCTCTGTGCTCAAGTGGGTAACAAGGGCCAGGTGGTGCAGCTTGAGAGGGAGGGAGGGTTTGCCCTTTGGGTTGGCTTCATCTGTGCTAGAAACCTGTGATCAAGGTCTAATTCTTTTTAATTAATAGTAAGTTTTTAATGGATTTGTCTGTCACAGAGGTGTGGAGTTGCTGTCCTGGCCAGTAATGAACTCATGTGTTTTGTACATGTAGCTCTGAGCTGATCTGGGCTGCTGCAGGTTCAGTCGCTGCTGGTGAGGCCTCAGGAAAGAGAAGGGAAGAGGAAGGAGGTTTCCTGTGGGGGTGTGTTTGTGGTGTGCTGTCAGTTCAGTCTTGCTCTGAGGCCTCAGCCCCAGCTGAATGTTTCCATTTGTGATGTGGAGCACAAACCCCTTCCAAAATAAACACACATTTCCACCCTTAGGGGAAAGGTATGTGGCTGCTGCTGGAGTCCAGGGCTAGGAAATGCTCCCTCACACAGCTCTTGCATCCACTGAAACAAATTATTTTTTCTGTTTAAACAATGATCCAACCCTTTAAGTCTTCTCTACATAACAGCTCCTTCAGTTTCTGGTTTTTTTTTTCCCTGCAGCATTGTTTGCCTGAGTATTTTTGTGAGGCTGGATCTTTTATAAATACCCTGTTGGCAACAATTCTAGGGAATGTGTGAAAGGAAGAAAGATTGGAGGGCTGATAAAGACCTGAAATGTTTCTCAATTACTTGAAAACAAATGAAAGTAGTCTTCCTGTTCAGCTTGAGAGAAGCACTGCAGAATTAGATGAGGTGGGAAATGAGCAGGTTTTTATTGCACATTCAAGTTGTTGTTCTTTTATGGTAATTTTTTTGAGAGCAGGACTGTTGAGCACAGACTATTAGTGTTTATTTTACATATGTAAACTCTTGCCAGTTTATGTGCACTTGATCAAGAAACTTTGTGTAAAAAGGCTTTTCTAATGAAAACATTCAGCTGTAATTGTGAGTTCTGTTCTCTATGCTAAAGGGTCACTAGGATGGGAATGGCTGTTATTTAATAACTACGGGGGCTTTAAGGGAGCTGTGCTTGTCATTAATATTATCAGGGTGTGTTTTGCTGCCTGCTTCTCTTCTAGCCATCCTCCTGCAGGTTTAGTCAGCACAGGTGATCAGTTCCTTGCCTGCTTCACTCCCACCTCAGCTGAATGCATTTGTCTAAAGCTGATATAAAATAGCTCAAGTGGTTTGTTACTCAAACATCCACCCTGGTAATTGAAAGGCAAAGTACCCATCCAACCCTCCAACATTATCTGCAATAAAGGTAAGTGCTAAATATGTAAACAGGGAAGTGAAAACAGTCAAGTTTATATACCACAGTTAGTCTAACATAGAAAGTATTTTGGTGAATATTTTGATTAGAAATGTTAGCTGGAAAATATTTTATCCTTTTACTGTACAGCAGAGATGGCCAGTCTGCCTCCATGATCCTTGTAGGTCTGTGGCATGCTCATGGCATGGGAGCAGGAAGGGAGAGGTGGGTTTTCCAAGGGGAAAATGGGAATTTCAGCTCACTGCTGGGGGATAATGAAGCAGGATTGCAGAAGCTGGCGTGGCTGCAGTGATCCTGGGATCCAGCAGGCTGTCCAGCAGTGCCCATCCTCTGTTCCAGTGGTGCAGTGGCTCCTGAGCTGAGCATCATTCCCTTCCATCTGTGGTCTGTTGTGGAGCTGTCCCCTCCCCCAGGCTGTCTGGGCTGTGTGCCCTGGGACTCCTCAGAGTGTGATGATTTTAATATGCAGCTCGCAGAGTCAGGGAGGTTGTCTGCAGACTGGGAGATTATTCTGCCAAGGTTTATGCATTCATACGTTTTATTTTGGGGGACTGAACAGGAAACATTTAACAGTTTAGCATATAACATTTAACCCAGTGGTTGCTGGGTAAACCATTGTGGTGTCACAAATGTTAGCATACATCCTTCAGGTTATCTGTTATCCCACAAGCAGTGCTGTATATTTTACCTGGAGGAGCATGGCCCACTCTATTAGAAAGGGGAGTTAAAAGGAAAGAAAGAATGGATGAAAATATCTGAGATCCCATCCCCTGCTCTGGCATTTCTGTTGGGATGACAGGAGTAGCAGCATACCTGTTTCCAAAGCTGGGTTATTTTCATTTCCAAACCAGCCATATAGATTATTGCATATTTTAAAAATGATTCTCTACTTACCCTACCCAAATGGGCTGTTAGAATGTTCTCTGCCTGTGCTTGTGTGTGTGTGAATCACCTTCCTGTAACCTCCATTCTTCTCATACAGAGTTGAAGTTTGTGTATATTGATAATGTGCTCCTTCTGGCTGTGGTAGATGTTACTGGTGTTAAGTGGTAGTTCCATAGGAAAAAAGAGATAATGAAACTTTTTAGAGAATCTCATCAGGACTTTAAGTAGAATTATGACAGTGTGTAACACACAGTCAGTCTTTTT